CAGGATAGTAATCATACAGGGGTACAGGATAGTAATCATACAGGGGTGCAGGATGCTTATCATGCAGGGGTACAGAATAGTAATCATACAGGGGTGCAGGATGGTAATCATAGAGGGGTACAGGATGGTAATCATACAGGGGTACAGGATGGTAATCATACAGGGGTACAGGATGCTAATCATGCAGGGGTACAGAATAGTAATCATACAGGGGTACAGGATGGTAATCATGCAGGGGTACAGGATGCTAATCATGTAGGGGTACAGGATGGTAATCGTGCAGGGGTACAGGATGTTAATCATGCAGGGGTACAGGATGGTAAATGTACAGTGATAGAGTATGGTACAGTAATTAAGCAGTATGTTTACATGATCATACAGTGATACGGTATAGTACTGATCATACACTTACACAGTAAGGTATGGTAACTGTACATCGAGACAGTATGTTAGAGTAATTACCCAGATATACAGTAAGGTAAACCTGCAGTGATAGCTGAGGCTCTTCGAGGAACTCAAGACCATCATAGAGAGTAAAAAGGAATCCTTGGAACTTCAGCGGCTGCAGCTCCTCACTGAGCGACAAGTGTTTCACATGGAGCAGCTCATTATGCCGAGATGAAGGTGAGGCAGCAGATGGAGCAAGAAGCTGCTGCTGCAGCCCAGGATCAAGGATGGGCAGGCTCCTGGACCAGGGCCCCACCATGGCCCCCATACACCTGGCATGCACTACAGAGATACCATGTCCCACCATGGAGGACCCCCACCTCATCATGGAGAACCCCCACCCAGCACTACAATCCACCATGGTTACACCCCCGACCACCACCCGATGGCACCTCACCACCCTGGACAGACAGGACCAATGGAACCAGGTCAGCCGATGCCGGTACGTATGATATCTGGTCCACCCTCTGCTGGCCCCCCTCCTGGAGGCATTCCTCCCATGATGCCCCCACACCACCTGGAGCCCCCAACGGCATACATCCTGGTTGCCTGCCTGCACAACCTGAGGCAACACCTCCATCTCCTGCAGGTCCTCCAGCGCCTCGGAGTGGACAACCAAGACCTCCACACACAAATACACACAAACACACACACAAATACACACAAACAGACACACAAATGCATACAAATACACACACAAATACACATACAAAGCTAACTGTCTCTGAACATGAGTCCCTTTTTGATGATCTTTGTTCTCTGCTCAGTGTTTTTCTCTTTGACATTGAAGCAGCCATGAACTTCACCCTGTTAGGGCGGATGTGGCTCAGTGGTTAGAGCAGTCGTCCTCCAATGCGAGAGTTGGGGGTTTGAATCCACCAGCAGTCACATGCTGAAGTGTGCCTGTGCAAGACACTGAACCTCTCATTGTGTTAGGTGCCATCGGTGTATGAATGTGATAAAGCTCTGATTAGTCTCTTTAGAATGATTTGTTCAATTATCTATAGAGATCTAGTATAGAGCTGTATGAATGGGTCAATGAGGCACAGATCGTTGTAAAGAGCTTTGAGTATCTTGAAATAAGATAGAAAGGTGCTGTACAAGTACAGTCCATTTACCTGTTACACACAGACTCACACTCAGGTTGTGTTACACACAGACTCACACTCAGGTTGTGTTACTCCCAGACTCACACTCAGGTTGTGTTACTCACAGACTCACACTCAGGTTGTGTTACACAGACTCACTCAGGTTGTGTTACTCACAGACTCACACTCAGGTTGTGTTACTCACAGACTCACACTCAGGTTGTGTTACTCCCAGACTCACACTCAGGTTGTGTTACACAGACTCACTCAGGTTGTGTTACACACAGACTCACACTCAGGTTGTGTTACACAGACTCACACTCAGGTTGTGTTACACAGATTCACTCAGGTTGTGTTACTCACAGACTCACACTCAGGTTGTGTTACACAGACTCACACTCAGGTTGTGTTACACACAGACTCACACTCAGGTTGTGTTACTCACAGACTCACACTCAGGTTGTGTTACTCACAGACTCACACTCAGGTTGTGTTACACACAGACTCACTCAGG